CGTATAATATATTATTATATAATACTAATTTGGTGTAATGTATATAATACAATTTGTTGGTCATGACTCGACTTCAGGGAAATCCGCTCGGGGCTTCCACACTGGGCTTTACCGTAGCGCATGCCGAGTCCCACGGATACCCTTGCTCCTGGACCAGTAACAATAAATAAAGCATAAACAAGAAAAAGTCGGGTTTCGATGAATCTATTGTTTCATAATTGTTGAGCTTACTTCCATTTCGAGTGAAGTTGTTTAGTGAAGAGTTTCGAAGCTTGATCTCACCAGAAGACGACAGCTGCCGATTGGCTTTACGGGAACACTTTTGCTGAGCCTGTTTCTGGGGCAATCTCCTTCGATTTCAGTCAAAATGTGCTACGGTTTCGTCCGTCATCATAAAGAGGATACCGTGTTCTGCTGATGTCCGACGACAGACAAAAGCTTAGCACGTTTTCACCGGAATCGAAAGAAACTGCCTCGAAAACGGCGTCAACGGTAATGTTCCAGTAAAGCCAATCGACAACTGGTCAGGCGGAATCCACCGTCGTCTTCTTATGAGATCGACCTTCGAACCCCTTCAGCAAACACTTTCATTCGAAACGGAAGTAAGCTCAACACTAGAAAAGGCGCCCGCAGCACCGATGGTTAGAGGTCTGGCAAATGATTCCCAAGTGGCAGATGGAAACGACTAGCTATCAAGTTCAGGGTTAGGCATAGGTCTCCTGAAATAGTTTATTTGAACTGTCCAGGAAGCCTGTCTTGACAACAATGGATAGATCGCCGTCGGAAATCGCCGCCTCTGCATGTGTCATTAATGTAGCGGTGATTTTATCGGAACCCGGTACTAGAATAGTGCCTTCTGCAGCCAGGCTTAAAGAATAGAATAACGTCGGCCAGACTCCATCGCCTAGCCTGATGCGTGATTCCTGTATCAAGTTATAATTTGCACCTGAGCTACGGCTTATCATGATGGCCGAGATATGTAATCTTTGGGCCACCTCAGGCCATGTAACTGTGCTGAGACGATTCCACAAAATAGCGCAAGTCTTGCTTCGGCTCAGGATGGAAGCTACTATTTCAAGTCGGCCGTTGGATCAGCTAGA